GGGCGAATACGGGTGGTTGAAATGCGAGCCCCTACCGGGTGCAATTGCGCTGCGCGGCAAAATCGATTGAAAAATTATTTGTGAGCTAGTATTATATTGTTATAACAAGCGCTAAAGCGCTTGCGTTAAACGCAAGCATTTTCGGACTGTTTTTGTGGGACTCCATTTTAAATTTTACTTTTTAATTTTAAATTTCAATTAAATCGGAGAAAAAGAAAAAAAATAAGGTTTAATACGAGAAAAACGAGAAAAAAGGTAAAAATCAGCGTAAAGAATCAATTTGGAACACCCTGTAGGCAGTAGGTTGAAGGTTGGAAGGTCAGGGGACGCGCGGTAAACCCGCGCGAGTCGAATCGGCCCGAAAGTTGCGAAATCGGGCAGAGATTAGGCCGCCGAACCCTCCGTAGTAGTTAACGAAGCATCGGCTTGGTGTAAAAAGCGCGGGAAACTCTGGGGGTTAGTCGTCTCCAACGTAATCAAAACCCCCTCAAAGTTGGCATTGGAACACCCTACACAGGCGCCACAACCCGCGGGAACCTGCAAACCGCGCGGGAAACCCTCGGGAAAAAGTTAATTTGAATGTAATCAAAAAACCTCAGAGTCAGCATTGGAACACCCTGTAGTGGGCAGTCAACCCGGGGGCCTTGGGGAACCCGCGTGGACCCCTTGGTTTGTAAACGCCTTGAAAACTTTCAAAAGATTTCAAAGTTAGCTTTGGAACACCCTAGACCGGGCAATTGCCCCTCCTTGACTTGCTTACCCATCGTAAGATCCATGGTTTCAACGTACACGCGAGCACCTCATAAAATTTCCAAAGTTGATTTTGGAACACCCTGTAATGGATAATCACCCCTTATTTACTTGCACACCCTCGTGGAACCCTTAAGAAAATGTTGTCTAGAAAGTAATGAAAAATCTTCAAAGCCAGCATTGGAACACCCTAGCGTGGACAGCCCATTCGCGGGACCTTGGGGAATCCATGCGGCCCCCTTGGTTGCAAAACGCTTGAAAGCTTTCAAATGATTTCAAAGTTTACTTTGGAACACTCAATACTGGGCAATTACCCCTTATTGACTTGGTTACTCATTGTAAGATCCTCGGTTTCAACGCTCTCGCAAGCCCCTTAAAAAATTTTCAAAGTTCATTTTGGAACACCCTGTACTGGATAATTACCCCTTATTTACTTGCACACCCTCGTGGAACCCTTAAGAACATGTCTCCTTCAAAGTAATGAAAAGTTCTCAAAGTCAGCATTGGAACACCCTAGCGTCGTCAGCCCTTCCGCGTGAACTTGCGAAACGCGCATGGAACCCTCGTGGTTGTATATCGCTTTTAAGCTTTTTAAATTTTGTTAAAGTTTGCTTTGGAACACCCTATACTGGATAACTATCCCTTATTTTCTTGCAGATGCCGCGTGAAACCGTGGTGCACAATTTATTTGAAACCTCTTAAAACGATTTTGAGGCCCATTTTGGAACACCCCTTACCTTGTAATTACCCCTTAAATTCTTGGAAAACGCACGTGAAATCCTCGGTTGTAATTTATTTGAAGCGCCCCCAAGAAATTTAAAAGTTTGTTTTGGAACACCCTGTACTGGGCAACGTACCCTCACGAACCTTGAAACCCCACGCAAGCCCCTCGATGTTAATGTACTTGAAAGCCTTTATAAATTTAGAGGGTATGCTTTGGAGCACCCTGTACTGGGCAATTGACCCCTTAGCACTTGCAAAAGTGGCATGAAACTGTTGTGCATTAATATTTTTTTTGACCATAAAAAATTAGCATGTTAACTTTGGAACACCCTAGAATGGATCCTTAATTTACATAAGAAATGCCCATTAATTGTACAGCGTAAGTAATTGGAAAGTTTAAAAAAAATTTAATAGTTAGCTTTGGAGCACCCTGTAGCGGCATCGTAGCGCGTGTGATTTTAACCCGCGGGAAACACATCGGAACGAGCGCGGCTCTGCCGCGACCGCGGGAAAGACGCCCGTGCCATTTGAATGAAATTAGTAAAAGAAATTCCAAAATTAACATTGGATCACCCCGTGGTGGTCAGAAATCACCCGTGCATTTGGAAAACTCGTGGGATGAATTTTGTGCATTTTATTTTTACAGATTCGATGAGAATCACAGGACATTAGCATTAGAATCTGCATAATGGAAAATTAACACGGGCACATTGTGACACGCGCGTAATTCGACCCCGGCGGGGCCGCGGAGCCCCCTAGAAAAATCGGCGCAAAAATTAGCTTCATTTTGCATTTAAAAAATCGAAAATCCGTCCAGTAGAACGCGCGCGGCGGCCTCGCGCGTTTGTTCTTTCGCCCCATAAGAAATACACAGCGCGCGTGCAATAGCAAAGCGACTCGGAATTCTCGGAGGCACCGCATTTTAATGTAAAACCTCGGAACCCCGCGATTCATGCATTTTGCATCCGCCGCGGGCGGAATTAGGCCGCCAGGGCCGAATTTCACCTCGTGGGGTCAGTGGGGGTCGTCGGGGGGCCGCGGCGGCCGTTCCGACCCTTGCCGAGCGCTAACACATGTAAAATCCCATAAGGCGAGAATTGTCTAAAAAAATTCTCAAAAAACTCGAATTTTACTACCGCCGTCGGCTGATTTCGGCCGCGGGTGACGAATTTCTGCCTGGGGGCCCCCGGGGGGCCACCTGGAGCCCGCGGCGATCATTACGTCTCGTTCGAAGCAAAAGTGCATGTTAAATCCCATAAGAAAAAATATCTGCCGAAAAATCGGCAATTCGGCCGCGGCGGGGCCGGGCGACCCCTGGAAAAATCGGCCCAAAAATTAGCTTCAATTTGGTTTTGAAAAATCGAAAATCCGTCCAGTAGAACGGCCGCGGCGGCCTCGCGCGTTTGCTTTTTTCCCCCATAAGAATAACACAGGCCGCGAGTTAGCGAAGCGACGGACGAAACTCGGAGGCGCCGCGTGTTAATAAAATTCGCCGGAACCCCGCGATTCGTGCTTATTTCATCGGCGGCCGGCCGAATTCGGCCGCGGGTGACGAACTTCGGCCGTGGGACCGCAGGTGGGCCGCCCAGGGCCCGCGTCGAGCGACCCGACTCGCGTCGAGCGAAAAGCCATGCTAAATCCCATAAGAAAATGTTTTTGCCGAATAATCGGCAATTCGGCCCCGGCGGGGCCGGGCGAACCCTCAAAAAATCGGCCCAAAAATTAGCTTCATTTTGCTTTTTAAAAATCGAAAATCCGTTCACTAGAACGGCCACGGCGGCCTCGCGCGTTTGCTTTTTTCCCCCATAAGAATAACACAGGCCGCGAGATGCTGAAGCGACGGACGAAACTCGGAGGCGCCGCGTGTTAATAAAATTCCCCGGAACCCCGCGGTTCGTGCATATTTCATCAGCGGCCGGCCGAATTCGGCCGCGGGTGACGAATTTCGGCCGTGGGACCGCCGGGGGGCCGCCGTGGGGCCGCGGCGAACATTACGTCTCGTCCGAAGGAAAAACCCATGTTAAATCCCATAAGAAAATTTTTTTGCCGAAAAATCGGCAATTCGGCCGCGGCGGGGCCGGGCGACCCCTGGAAAAATCGGTCCAAAAATTAGCTTCATTTTGGTGTGCGAAAAACGAAAATCCGACCACGGGAACGGCCGCGGCGGCCGCCGGCGTCTGCTCGCCCGTTCTCCCATAAGATTAACATTGGAAGGTGGATTTTGAGAAATTTCAAAAGCCTAAGGCTTTTTTTCTATGGGAATGCGACCCATGGTCCTATGGTGATTCGGACGCGTCTCGCGAAGGCGCACAACGCTGAATCGAGTTTGGTTTCGATTTTTGACTTTTCGCAATGTATTTTCTGGAAAAAACCGGTTTTTTCACCCTTCGGGGTGCCGGTAAACCTGGGGAAAAAATCGCAAGGGTCGGTTCTACCCGGGAAAACGTAGGGCACGTCAGGGTGCACCTCGGACGTGATTGGCTGTTTATGTCGATTTTTTTATGTCAGCCGTTTTCGCGTTTGAATGGGGGAAAAATGCGATTTTTTGCGATTTTTCATATTTACCCTGAATTTAAGGTGGGAAGGAGGGCCCCGAGCGGGAAACGGACAACGACGTCAAATTAGCAAATTTAACTGAGAATCGAACGGTGCTAGCGGCAAATTTCTCGCTCGGGTAGGTACCGAGCAGTAAAGCGCGAAAGCCGAAAAGACGTATTTGGGCCGCGCGGGCCCGGCGGGGCCCAATCGGGAAATCGGGCGAATACGGGTGGTTGAAATGCGAGCCCCTACCGGGTGCAATTGCGCTGCGCGGCAAAATCGATTGAAAAATTATTTGTGAGCTAGTATTATATTGTTATAATCTGTAATAAAATATTGAAATTTGAATGTACGAGCTATTTTTCTCTTTTAAACGGTTTTAACCTAGAACAATATTTATTTTATAATTTTTATTTTTTGAGTTTATTATAATTATGCTGTTTATATTTTAATATTTTTGTATATTTGGTTGTCATTATTACAAAGCTGTTGCCGCTAGAAACCATTGTTACAAATTTCATCATGAAAGTCGTGCATTGTGCATGGCAAAGCGAAAAAAAACCCAAATCCATGTTCTAGTTTTTGGTAAATTTATAAATTTTATAATCCTTTATTGAATTTATTTTTATAAATTAAAATATTTAGTTGAAAAAATTTTATTAGAATGTTGGTAATAATAAATAATTTGTTATTATTATTATTTTTATTTTTCCATAAGGCGCAAGGAAATGAAACTCTGTTAGATTTTTTTCTCTCAGTTATATACACGTTTATTTTTTTCTTTCAATTAACCATCCAGTTTTTGTTACAGATTTTGTTTTGTCTTCTCACTTAAAACCACTTCTTAAAACTAAATTACATCTCACAGCATAACATTTTTTATTTTTTCCAAAAAACAAATTTTAATTTTAAATAATACAACTCATGCATAGAGGTGTGGCAACTGCTTAGTTTCATTATTACATCTTTTCTGCTATATCGTTTTTACATTTCCTCTCTCCAACAGTTCCCTAGATGCTTTCTTGTCGAACGGAACAGGAAGGAAATTTCAAAATTTCACCACCCAGAACGGAATTTTAAGGAATCGTTTTTGTCCGAAAATAAAATCATTTTTTTCCTATAATCTCTGTTAGAGCTTTTTCCCCATCATCAGAAGTAGTATTTTGGCACTACAAAAATACAAAATATAGTCCGCGACCCAGTTATGATTATTTTGATTTTCTTTTTCTTTAAAATCCTCTGAAAAATCTCGCGCGGAGCCGAATTTGATAAAAATTATTATTGTCTGTCGCGGCAAACCTAATCAGGGAGGGTTAGAAATTAAAATACCTGTAATTCCTGAACTTGTGTGTGCAAGTAACTTAAAAATTGCACAAAAGAAGGGAGAAAAATGCAGATTTACCGATGGAAGGAAGCCTGAATTCTGTTCTCGAGCGATATATTTAAAACACATACTTGTATTCACAACCCATTAAATTATGTGATCAGCGTCTACCTTTCTGAGGATCGCATATATGAGAGGTTATCATTTTTTATTACTTTGTGGAAACGAAAACCCATTGAATACAGCATCAATTTTTATTTTCACAAGAGTTCCTCTATATTTGCATGGACATATCAACAAATATTGCACTTATCTGACAGAAATCATTATTTACAACGGGCAATATATTGAAAACAGCAGAACAATTATAATATAATTCCTTCTCCTGCCTCATTTTAGTATTTATACAAAAAAAAATTATCAATCTTGAAGTTTGTTTATTCTCGTTTTCTGAGTGGTTTGTTTCTCCCTCTCTCGCACACATAAGTACATTCACCATTAATTAATTGATTCATTTATATTTTATTTGGTAATTACAATTAGTTGTTCCGTTTGATTTTTGACAATATCTCGCAGGCCTGAGTATTGGATCTTTGAAGAAAAATCACCTTTGTATTTTAATTTCACTTTCTTCGGGGGGACAATTTGCAACAATTCGAGAAGAAGTGCGTTTGGAAGTGGCGCATGTATGAGGGGAAATCAGAGACGGAAGGAAATTCAAGAGCGAGACAAAAAGGCTTATACAAAAATTAATTTTAATTTTTCCAATGTATTAACGCTGAAGTGACGGGGTGCACTTTTTTAACTTGAACAGGGTCTGACGACGACGAGAAAGGCACGGACAGTTTTCATTATTCTCCCCCATCAAAATCTTGATTTGCACAATTCAACAAATTTCCTCAATCCGCAGATCTCTTTCCACAAGTTAAAAATCACATCTGCTCTTTGCATTCACTGTGTGTTTAAATATTATATGGGTGGTTCGTTTTCTCTTGTGCAAATATATTTTAATGATCTCAACAATGATAAATATTTATATTTTATCCAACATACAACTTTTAGAGCTCCAAGTATGCATTTAAATCTCTCTCTCATTTTTGCTGTGAATTGATCTCTTTTCCTAATTTCGCAGAGGTTTTTATTTTAACCGAATGATATATTTTTTTCTTTTTGTCTCACGAACTTGTTTTTTTAAAATGTTCAACACACACCGAGGCACTGAGAGTAAGGCGATTCCTACAAGGAGGTCGTTTTAAGGACAACTGGACGAAGGAGGTACGTGACATGACACACACCCCGTTTATTTTCTCATCAAAAACACGATTTTCCAATATGACGGTAGAATTTTGATTAATCGCGTTGAACTACGTACGAACATTAACACATACCGCGGCTGCGAACATTTTATTGTGTGTGTTTTTCATTTGGGGAGAATTTCTGATTGGTAAAAATTTCAAAAAGGTGCTTTTAAAAAGCGGTTACGATTCCAATCTCAGCTCGATGCAGGGAAAGCTCCTAATAAAATTACTTTTTATTTAGTATGAAAAGGCTGTGTGAGACCGCTATTGACATTTTGGTTCCTCGAAGATTAAAGCCTCAGAAGAAGGCAATTTATTTATTTTTAATTGATTAGCATTGATTTGGTTAAAATTTTTAAAATTTCATCATTTAACAGCAGTGTGTGTGTATTTTTGAGTGCATTTCGGGATATGTTGCCGCAGCGCTGGCGCGAGACAGTACAACGTATTTTTTTTTTTTTTTAGAATTATACAAATACATCGGATAACATCTCATCTATATATAGATTTTTGTGTGTAACAAACTTTCATGTATATAGCAAACAGCATGAGCAGTGACAGAACAGAATTTTTTTTTACAACAAAGCAGCAGCTTAAAAACGGCACAAATGGAGTTTGTTGTTGCATTTTGTCTTACCAAAGAAAAGTATAGTTTTTCTTTGCTCGATATCTCATCTTTTCACCCACTTTATACGCCTGGCGCGCACAGAAATTTTTATAAGAGTTAATTAAATCGTCTCTCTCTCGAAGAAGAAAAAAAATAAATAATGCACAACAAAAACAAAAACAGGAAAAATTGACATCGTCATATCGCGTGATTCTTTTTCTTTCATTTCACTGACAATTATCTCATTTTCGGCTACACCTAATACGGCTATACTTTAATAATATCCAAAGAAAACACAATTAACAATCGCTCTCTCTGCTTCTTCTCTTCATATATCAAATATGCATTCTTTTTCTAGTGAGTGTGTGTTTGTGTTTATACGTTTGGTTGATTCACCAAGCTATAGAAAACGTTTTATTCACTTCGTATGTCAGAAAAATAATTTTTGGACCACTTATCGTCTCGTTCAGAGTGTGATGCCTTCTTCAGACTTTCGTCTCACGGCTCTTTTTCGCAGCTGACGAATGGCCACAATATTTCTCTCTACTTATTGAACTAGCTATTCACCCACATAGTGGTTGATATTTTTACCAGAAGCAGCTCACCAATCTTCATATAAATGGCCAGCGTGTGTGTTTCATATTTGAATTAAAAAGGGCTTGGCCCTGAATTTCTCCAAAACGTGTAAATATCTCTTTTCTCTGCTACGGTGAATATTCCGATCCAGCACATTATTTTTTTTGTCCGCAATTTTGTATAAGTTTGTTAGTAAAATATATTCTAGTACAAATATAAATTCAGCGAGTCTTTTGTGGTGGTAAAGTGGTTCTGGTGGTAATAATTTTTCATCAGTGGTCAACACTAGTTTTCCCGCAACTATATATATGAATCTCTCTCTCTTGCCATATCATTTCATTGAAGCACTTTTGTCTGCCTGCCTATGTACATATTTTTCAAGAAGTTTCCGTGCTTGAGTGTGTGGAGCTTATCATCATTTGGTGTGTGAACGAACGAACATCATGTGTATGTGTCAGTGGTGTATGTACAAACAGCAAACACAACAAATTTATAATTGCATTCATTAAACGGCATGTTTTTGACGGTGATCGGTTAGCTTGGCGCTCGGTGGACATAATTATTTTTGTACGAAGAATTCACATCCATCTCCAGACAAGAGCTTTACAATTTTCCAGTTCCAAGATTATGGACCGTCTTATACACAAATTCGAGTGGTTTTTCACTTTCCTCTGTCGAGAGTATATATAATTAAATACAATGAGCAATTGTTTTCCAAGACGTGTGGCAACAATTCGATTTTTCAATTTGACTAAAAATAATAATGGCTCCGCGATGAATATGTTGACAACAATATTTAATTAGATATTTATATTTTTTACTCGCGTAAAATCATGAATCTCCCTGACGGCGGCTTTTTCTTCTCTTCGCTTCCTCGGGCTGAGGTTCGGAAAGTAGACAGCTCGGCTGCTTCTTCAATTTTTGTATGTTGACTGAGTGAGTGAGAGTGACTGGCTTGTTTCACACGCACAGAGAAAGAATATAAGTGTTTGCTCTATTCTCTAATGGCTGGACGCTTGTTGCAACAGAGAGGTGGCATCGTACATGCTCGACGCCGGGTAAGCGTGCCACTAAGAAGCCCAGCCCTCGGTGGTCAGGCGGGAGCGCTTCTGCATTGGGCCGGGGTCGTAATCGACGCTGTGCCGCGGGTCTCCGGGTGACGAGTGGTTTACGCTTGTACTTGTACCTGCGAAAAGTGGGACAAATTTAGAATTTATAACCGAATAACATAATAAAGGAGGGAACTTATAATTTTAATTTAAGGATTGGGTTTTAATAATATCAGAAATGCAAACTTTTTTCTAATTTTAAATTTATTTCCTTTTAATAAGAAATTATTTGTATATGTATTATTGTATAATTTATACTATTAATAATTTGTTTTGAACAATTTCATTTTGTGAATTTAAAATCAGGTTTTCCTTGATGGGTTTTGTGAGTTGTTTATTGTTTAAGAAAATTAACACAAAATTCTACATGTGTCGGCCGCATGCTGTGAAATCAATATGATAAGAATTAGTACAAAAATCAATCTATCAAAATTATTTTTAATTCAAATTAACCATGTTTCTATAAATTATTTAAAATTAAATTTGAAATTTAATTAAAAAATTAATTTCTTAACAATTTTGAATTTAATTGTCAAGTTTTGTGTTTAAATTGTTTTGTGTATATAAAAATGCAACTTAAAATCATTTTTTCTTGAAAAATATTAATTTTGAAAGATGGATATTTTAAAAGGATTGATTTTTGTACCAATTCTTGTCAAAATAATTTCACAGCTCATAAATTATGACTGCAGCCTGCAGCCGAAACATGAAGAGCAGGATATTGTATTACTCAAACAAAAACCAACTCACAAAACTCATTGAGGAAAAGGTAATAATTTTTAATTCAAAATCACCATTATCATGTTATTTTCTTTGAAAAGTTGCAATTTTAAGTTTTGTCAAATAAAGTGAATAAGCTCAATTAAAAAATAAAAAAAAAAAAATAGTAAAAAAATATGCATAATAGTCTGTGAAAAATATTTATGATAATTTAAATTGAGATCAGTTTTAAATTTGTCCTTGTGCCATTGCAAATTTTCTGCAATGTAATTAAAATACTTTATAAATTTTAATAAAATGACTTATCTACAATTTAATTGCCGCACTTGAATGACTTACTGATAATTAAATCGGAGTTCAAAATAATTTCATGAGTCGTTTCATTATTAATTTATAAAATTTAAATTCTTAGAGTGGATTAAGTTGATGTATGGGAAATTAGATGAATTGAGGTTAAATGAAAGATATAATATAAATGCTTAAAAAGTAAAAAAAATAATTATAAAACAATTAAAATTAAAATAAGTTTTAATTTTTCTGTTTTCCATAAAAAAATTTGGGTTTTTAAAAAAAAAAATAATAAATAATAATCAATTGGACTTTATATAATAATTAAAAAATTTCACTTACTATGCCTCATACCTGGAGTGGGCGTCAGGTGTCCCGTTGAGCTGGGTCGCGAGGACAAGTGGCCGCCGGCCTCGCCCCTCGGCGGGGAGATGGGCTCACTTTTGATCTTGACTGGCAACGGCGAGGTGGCGGGCGGCGGCGTCGAGCTCGACACCGCCAGGTGTGGCAAACCGCTGTAAGAGAGCAGAACACCACTGTCAACGGGGTAAGTCGAGCCGCCCCTTTGCGTTCAAACGGATGCCAAAGCGCTTACCTTGGATGTCCGAGTGAGGAACTTAACGGCCCCGGAGTGTTCCAGCTGTGCAGAGTGTTCAGGCTTGCGAGTCCAATGTCATTTCCAACCGAAAAGTCCTGCGGGCCGAATGCACTGCTCAGCGACGCGGCGTACGACGACATTCCTGGTATTGACGGGTTCTGCGAAAGGAAGAAATACTAATTAGGAGATTAACAAATAATTACAACCGTAAAATCCGATTAAAAATCTATCCTAGGAAAAAGTGAACAAAATTTTTAAAAACAACAAATCCATGCAAAAATTTCCACACTGTTAAGAACTTTAAACCCCCTCCATCGTTTCAAACGGTCCCTGTACTAACTCGAGTGTAATCAACATTGTCTTCAATTACTTCATCTGAGGGGAGGCTGCCCTGCGGTGCCTGCGGCGTGGGGATGACGACCCGCAGGTGCGACCGGCTCGGCGACGGTTGTTTCTGCAGACTTTTGTTGGCGAGGCCCGGACTGGGTCCGGGCGACGCCGATCCGAGGGGAGAGGCCGAGGGTGGGTATCCATTGCTCATGTCCAACATTGCTTCCGCCGGGTACACCGTGTCCGTCTCTGAGGACGACGGTCTCGGACTGACGCTCGGGTGAGCCATTTGAGGACTAGACTGCATGAGACCTGCGGACGAGTCGCCGTAACTCGAGTTGACTGGCACCGTGACGGGCAAAGTGTAGCCGCTCTGGCTCATTGACACCTGAAATCAGGTCAAATAAAGTCTTGAACTCATTGCAATATACACAGCCGCGCATTCTAATTGAATTAATTGAAAGAGGATCAATGTCAATCAAGGATTTTACATTTGAGGTCAGATTCAAGATTCAAATCAACTCATTGCAATTGCACACAGAGGCATATTTTTAAATGATGTAGAAATCACTAAATGATATGATATTATATTGAATATTTTTAAGTGTATCGAATTTATAAATTTCTTCAATATTCATTTAAAAAAAAACCATTGTATGAGCAAACAATCATAATTATTGGAAACTTTTGGTATTATTATTACTTGTTAGGCTCTTGCATTTTAGTCGATTTTTAGTCAACTAATTTTAAGTGATTTTACAGAAATTTAGTCACATGTTTAGCTGGTTTTTGCCAAAATAGTCGGTTATAGTTGATTTTTATTTTAAATTGGGATTTTTTGCTATAAATGAAAATATAATTTTAACTGATTGTTTCAAATTTGAATTAATAAATCTCCATTTTTGGAAGCATAAATAATATTTTAATACTAACAATTTTCCATCATTATTAAATTTCCCAACGAGCAATTATTCAGAGCTTTGTGATTCTATATGATACATCATAGAAAGGATTCAATTGCTGGAACAATTAAATTTTCGTAACATTGTGAAGTGAACTAAATATTTTGAAGACAGGGTAATTTTATAAACGAGTGTTTTGTTTGATGATAGGGAAAAAATTTTAAAATTATACTTGTTTTAAATTGTTCTAAACAAAAAGCTCAAAACATGTTTTTCCATTAATTGGAATGTTATGAATATTTTTCATCGATCGATATTCTATTTTGTAACAACATAAAAGAAAAGGATGAAAAAAATTGCTTTTACTAAGTTCTATGCTTTGAGTTGCTAGAAATATAATCTGTTTAAAAATAATTTTTATATAATATCTTTTTCCCTTTCAAAGTATTGATTTTTTTTTTGAAATTTCGTGGCAATTTTGTTTCAAAGTCTGGAAAAATCTATTTGTTACATAAAAAAAATTTATTAAGTCCATCATTATAGATTGTTTCAGACGCTTTAATCGTAAATTCAATAAATACTCTATTTTAGTTGATTTTCAATATGTGACAACCGTAATAAAATCAAACGATTCTTGCATAAAATGCAATTTCATATCGCTACAAGCAACGTAGAAAAGAGTTGATCGACTAAACTGCACGAGCCAAATTATTATTCCTCTATATTTGAAATTTTGTTGCTTAAAATTTGCTATTTAAACATAATTTAGTTTGTAAATGATGTATTTTACTCTATAGACTTTTATTACTTTTGAATTTCATTAATTTATTCTTGTATTACTAGCGATTAAAAATTTCTTACTCTGCTGCCATTGATCTGTTGGTTCCTCTGCATCATCATTTGAAATTCCTCGTCAATCTTGTTGTACTTGGCCTCGGTGCGTGGGGTGAGTTGGTATTCACTGTCTGGCTCGGGGCTGTCGGGACTGCAAGTGCCGTTTTTGTGCTCCTTCTTATTGAGCGCCTGCAAATGCCAAACAAAAGTTGGAAATAGACTCGACGAGTGCGGCCAAAGGCACGTTTTTCAACATTGGATAGGTCCGGAGAAGAGTTTTTGTTTGAGAAAAACAATATTTAAAAAACAAACGAACCTCAATAATGTTCTTGTTGGTGAGCGACTCGTGCGGCTCGTTGTACTCGGTGTACTTGAGCAACACTTTGTCCATGTCGGTCGACGCGTATTGGTACAGTTTGTTGGAGCTGCTGAAGATGATGAGCGCGATCTCGCAGTCGCACAGGACACTCAGTTCGTACGCCTTTTTCATCACGCCGAACTTGCGTTTGTTGAAAGTCACCTGCGGCGAAAAAGATTTATACGATCAATTTAAATAAATTAAAGTAGAAAAAGCTTAAATCAACACCCAATTATACGGCGACAAACCTGTTTGGCCAAAGAAAGTTATTATCCGGAGAGGCGGGTTTGGGAAATTGCAAGACTCGCGGGCAGAAACAAGATATTCCGTGCGTGGCTCTAATTACGAGTGTTACGAGGTGATGAGATACACACTGTGACACTTTCAATATGTACGGCTTCTCTCTAATATAATTCAGTGCAAAAAACGCGGCGAGAAAATTATGTAAACATCGTTTAATTTTTATAATATGCTTTTCGAGTGGGTGCTTCGGATAATAAAATAAATCAGTGCAAACTCCAATTAAACTCGGCATTTGTCTCTACGGCAACCCCCGCAATGTTATTTGTTTCAGATCGGCTTGCGATTCTCGGAACGCGATTCGAAATCTGAACGAATAATCGGCCTCGATTACAAAACATTCCACGCTCACTCGGTGCACGAGGCTTTTTGCGTGGGGCGATCGAGAGAAGATAGAAATGAGATGGAGAAAAAAAAGAGAATTGCTCGCCGAGTACGGAGGTGTGCTGACATCACCCCCGAACGCCCTTGAAAGCAAAAAGTAATTGACTAAAAGTAAGTAATAAAAAAGCAAGCAAACTACAATTATTTGAATTTTTCTCCAAATTTTAAAATAAGATCAGATATAACAAAATTAAATAGTAAATAATTAACGCGTAAATAAGCAAAAAGACACACAAATGAGACTGGAAATGAATATATTGAACTTTTTCGTCCTTAAGCAAAGATTATTTAATTAAAATACAACTGGCTCTACCAGTTTTGGTCACGGTCTACGAACCTATTTCAGGAGCAATGAAAAAAATCAGCAAAATTTTAAAAACCACATTTTTAACATTCAGTTCAAAATCTTTAAATAAAAAATAGCAATTTGTTAGTAGTTTTAAGATTTTGAATTATTTGTTATCAAAAAGTGGATTTTCAATGTGACGATTTTTGTATTTTTCTTGCTCACAGACCGTGACCGAAACTAGTAGAGCCGTTTTATTTTTGAATAAAAACAATTTTTTCACCGAGGAAAAATAGCCCGATCTCTTCATTTCCATGATCATCATTGAGTGTCGATTTCATTAAATTTATATTGAGAACTTCTGAATCAGTTTTTCCGCATCACAATTGAGATTTGTCGCATTTTTTTTTAAATTTATTCATTCTTACGTAATTATGGAATTTATAAAGCAAATAAAGCCAATAAATAAATTTAAATATTGTGTTTTGTTAAAATTTAAACTGAAAATTGTAATAAGAGTTGCTATAAGATCGAATAAAATCAGCAAATAATCAAGGAAGGAATAAATTTCAGAATAGAAAAACAATAAATTTTAGCAAAAAAGAAAGCTGGTTTGGCGACAACAACTGATTGTGAGTTATTAAAGCCCGCTAATGAACAACTTGGTCCGTGTTTGTGTTATTTACCTGACGATTTCTCTCGTCGGTGATCCGCGAGATCTGGATTTTCTTGCGTCCCATGGCGTTCGAGACGGCGGAAGCGGAGTTTGCTGCTGAGGAGGCAATGGCGCAGGACTGATGAGGACCCTGGGGCGACGCTAAACACTGCAGCTTAGGGGCGGGCGAGGGCGCTGCTTCGAAGGCTCGAGCAGCGACGTCTCTCGGTGCAGATCAGCCGACAAGTCTCACAATTTTCAAATCTCCCCGAAGAGCTGCAACAAATCAAACAGAGGCGGATGCAAATTTCGTTCGCTACACACAAAAGAACAAAAAAAGTTGAGACGGTCGAGTGGAATGCGCGGAGAAATCTGCATTTTATTTTGCGGAGAAAAACGCACGGGCGGTCGGCGCCAGTGGGAAATTCTTTTTATTCAAATCGTCGCCAAGGTCTGGGGGTTTTATTGTTTTTGCTCGAAGGTATAATATTCTCGGTATAAAAGTGGCAAATAGAATTCGCGACCAAAGCTGATTTCAACAGGAAAACTTACAAGTTCGCAAGTCTTTTCAATTTGCAACAATGGAGAGATAAAGAATACAATAAGCTCTCTCATTATAATGTCTTGTATACCTAAAATCCTTTGTATTTTTTGTACCAAAATTTTGTGAAAGACAAAAGATATGTTGAAAATTTTAAAAGTGAAGAACAAAGTTTTGGAAAATATACCAGGCAACTCTAGATTTTGAAACGCCATAATTTTCTTTTCAGCGTCTATAAATCTTTGAGTAATATGAAATTAAAACAGAATTAAATATTAATTCTAAGTCAAGGAATTTAGCTATAAATTTAATTTCCATTGTTTCCATAAGAAAATATTTAAACAAATTGAAGAGACAATTCAAATTTGTTAACTTTTGATCAAAAAGAATAAAATTATTAAGAATTTGGCTGGAAGTTATATTAAATTTCGTGTGTTCCTTTCTTAAATCTCTGAAGAAATTTAAGTCTCAGAAGCAGCAAACCAATAACAGACAGCGCTGGCTGTTAAAATTAAGTGCACGTTCTTTTATTTCTCGCGTGTATAGTTCAAAAGAAGCGTCGCAGTTTCAAAGCTCCAGCAGAGCGCAGATCAAAGAATGATCTTGAGCTCTTTGCTCATGCTCGGCGCACTACAAACATTCGGCGCGAATTGAATTCTGCGAAACTCTAGTTTGTCTCTCAACACAAAACCGATTAATTGGCATAATAGGATTGCGGATTGGCGGGGGAGAAAAGAAGAAGGCGAGTCGAATGACAGCAGGTGCGAGAGTCATTATCGATCAGGTGCTCGCGAACGCGTGGGTGAGGCACGTGCGGAGTGCATTTTGTACATTTCTGACGAAGCCCTTTCGGCGTGAGAGAGAAATAAATGCAGCTTAATTTATTTCTGATTTGGCCCGGCGAGCAAGCAAGGTTTTCTTCAAATAAAAAGCGACTAAAAATAAGAGCGGAATTTTATTTTAACCCCCGAGTGTTTACAATTTAAAACGAGAATAAACCGTGACCGACTGACTAGCTCGAGTGGTGGAAATTTAAATTCATCCTGCCCGCACGCGGTCCTATGACAACAAAAATCAGCCTGACCGCCACTTTCGCACGTGCACCTGCTGGAGAAGCAGACGCGAATGCAAGTCAAAAAGGCATTTACGTCTAGGAATAGTAAAATTTCGCTAAAGTTGGTTGGTTGAGGCGTGGAAATTGCCAGTTTTTTTTATGATTTTATATTGAATGTGAGGATTAAAAACGTTTTTATTCAATTTTGTTCTCACAGCTGGCAAATTAAATTAGTTTTTATGATTCAAAATTGTCCGAATTTAATTGGAATAATTTGGTGAATGGGGTTTTTTGATAACGGATTAGCAAAATCCTTGCTAGTGGTGGTGCCGTTTTCTCCAACAATTCTTTTCACTTAAAAAAATTGGACAAATAAAAAACGATAGTAATTTGATTTGCCAGCTCGGAATGTGCAAATTACACGGCATGACCAACCAACTCAAGCGTAATTTTACTGTTACCAAGACAACTCTCGTCTCTCGCCTGGTTCTCGATTAATTAATTGAACGCTTATACATGTGTCCGTTGATTAGCTCAGTCGGTTTCCGCAGACACTGGGAATTGGCAGTTTAATACTTCCAAATAAGCGTAATGGCATTTTGCTCCTCTCAGTTAGTCGAGCTCGAATTAATTGATTTGACGAACGAAACCACGTCAGGTGGAAGGCGCTAATTAACTAACGCTCCAAAACATTCGCCAATCTAAATTTCAATATGCGTTAATTAGTGCAAACGCGGTGCCGCAGAGAAGGGACCAGATAGAAAAGAAAAAAATACTTTCTCAGAACGCACCTTTGAAGTTTTTTAGCAGATCTAAAACTGATTGTCTGATTGTTGATTAGAGTTTTGCTTTATTTTCCTTTATTATCAATAAAGTAGTTTTTTTATGGTTCAACTTTTTCGAAAGATAAAAGTGCAGAAAATTGCCTTAGTTTTATATTCAAAAATTATATTGAAAATGACCTGAAGGCTGAAAATAATCTGGAAAAATGTCTATTACTATATTAATTACATTGCAGAAAATATTATTAATTAGACGAACTTTTCTTAAACTTAATCAATTAACCAAGAAAATCAACTTTGCACCAAATTTTGAGCTCCACTTTTAACCCATTTTCTGTTTGTTTATCATTTATATTATAATAAAGTAAAAAAAGGTTAATTTATTATTGAAATGATTTAAATAACATAAACACAAAATTTATATTCATAATCTTTTCAAAGAATATCTTTGGCATTTAAATTTTTCTATTGAATTGCTGAACATGTAATCATAATCAATTATTTTAAAATTTAATGAACTCCATGACATATATTTAATAAAAATAAATCCGATATGAATCAATAGAATTATAACATCAAAAATTTAGTGTAAAGATTTAAATTAAAATAATTTTTGCATTTAAATATGCAAATTTTTGCGAAATTCCATATATCAAATCTTTTGAATTGGAAATATTCGAGCAGTCGATTTGTTTTGTGGAAAAGAAAGGACACGATTGGGGGAATGAATGGATCTGGGGATGCTTTGATGGTGCAAATAAAACGCGCCGGCTCACGAGGCCGGGTGCGTGATCATATTGTTGGAAAAAGTGGAGGCAAAAGAAGGCATCGCTTTTTTTTTTGGCAGAATGAGAAGAAAGTATCGGCGAAGCGAGCAGCGAGACGACTAATAAGAGCGGAGGCGTTCGTTCGCTGCTCATTTTTCCACCGGCGGAAAAAGAAAATTGACCGACTCGCGCGCGCTTTGACGGCGCGATGGATGCGAAAGAGCTTTTGCAGAATGAACGTGGGCGTCGTGATTTCCTCCCTGCAAAGGTGAGTTGTAGCCATGGAGACCGGAGGCTGCTTTTTTGACGCCCACTTCTCTCGTCGGCACACAACATTATTGAAATTGGATTAAACTGCCATCACGGGGTCAAAATCTGAATCAACGAACAAGAGTTGAACTTTATATATTGCATCATGGGGAGTGGAAATTCGAAAATTACTCCAGCGCTTCGCAAGTGTTCGGCAAGTTCGGATGGAGTAAGATCAGATTGGATATTGATACTCCCAGAAGAGAGATTACAAGAAATGGGCAAACACACTCCCTGTTGGATAATTAGACTGGATTTTCAACGTGAAAACAGGGCTATAATATTTTCCGCGCAATATTGTAAATGATTTATTATTGAATTTAATTAATTAGCAGGATGATTGTTTTTCTAAATTAAAATATGATTTCATAGAAAAAAAGGAGGATAGTCCAACTTTATGTTTTTTAATTTGCACATTATATTTCAATACATACTTTTTATTTTTTGAATTTGCAAATCATAAACAAAACTAGTTATAAATAAAAAATTACAAATTATTTTCCTAATAATTGGAATTCAAATCGGGCTTTCATTTAATTTGAGTAACTATTAACTTTAAAATAGTTAAATAGTTAATTAATATTATTTAAAGTTTTAAACAAGTATTTTTATTAATAAGAAGAAAAAAAAAATATCATGGATTTTATTTTACCCTTTTATTTATTTATTTTTATTTTAATAATATAAATTTGCACAGAGAGCCAGATTTCATAAATTAAATTTACTATCAAAAGTGTAAAAATTAATATAAAATTATATTAAAATTTATACCGAAGTTCCAACTTTATTAAAGATATTAAAGAGGCCAAAACTAAATAGAAGTTTCATGGTAACTAAAAAGATGTTATTAATTATATTTTAATTAGAAAAATTGTAAATTACTGATTGTTCAAAATAACGTTTATGGTTTTATACTCCAGATTAACTTCAAGTAAATTGGAAGGAAATGTCAAAAACGTGTCACTGAATTCATCAATCTTGCTATCGATTGCACGATTGATTTTGTTTTTTATGATTTTGAAAAAAGGAAAGTGTGGTGCCCGACCGATTTTTTTTTCGTTCACGTGAATCAGTAAAAGTCAGGTATGCACACACGAGTTTTGCTGATACAGAGGGCGGCTGCACACGAGAGTTTTATATTCAAGAGCGAGTACTTGAGCGTTGTGGCATCGCACTTGATATTTTCAAGAAGGCGCGCGAGCGAGAGCGCGCGGACCACTCTGCACCGTGGGAGCGAAATCTGGAAATTTTTACCGACGTATTTAGCGAAAAAGTCAAGAAGTTCGACGCGGTAATAATTTTCGCCGAGGGATGACTCACTTGTTTGTATTCATCAAACTTACTCTCGTCAGCACCTTTTAATTTTAGCCGCGGGTGATGAATTTTGCGGTGTCGCGGAATTAATTCTGGGTAAATTTGTATATATTTATAATCACCCCTTTCCCTTTTCGGAACGAAAAAAAACCGCTGATGGTGAGTCAGTGCACCGATATTGGCGACTCCTTCGTTTAATTGACGCACTTTACGTTATGTTGTGCGTCAAAGAACGGCAGACTGCACGGTTTCCGCAATTCGCGCGCAGAGGAAGCCGATTTGGTGACGAAATCGGGAAGTGGTCGGCTCGCGGTGCTTTTCACGAGTTTGAGTTTTCGTTAATAAATTTTATATCAAAAGGAAAAGAGAGCGACGAGGAGAAATTCGGCCTGGCAGAGAAGCTACAGACTTGCGTGACGAGGCAGGCAGCGAGCGACTCTTGACGTAAGAAGAGAGGGATAAGGAGTGTGATGGGAAAAAAAAGAGTCGAACCGACAAACTTGCAGCCCTCGCACGCCCTCGGATTTGTCAAACTTTTACATCAGGCGATACCGTATAATTATACTGATTAGAAAAACATCAAGAACTTTGATGAAAACAATTTTATATAGTTGGGGAACTTTCTTTAATTAATTTTGAAATTAATTACGTATTTGTCTTCCCCACTCTAATTTCTAAAATAAGTTGCAACGAAATATTTGATTAAATTTAAAATCTTACTTTAAATTTTGTTTTCAATTTTGGGAGGAAATCAAACCACACGACTTTTTGAAAGAGATTAAAGTATGGATAAAGATTGTTCTAATTTTAACTTGTTGGTGCTGAAATAAGGGAAGTGGCACACAATTTGAAACAAATGCGCCAATCAATTGAAATTTCCCCATTTTTTTTAAAATAGTTTATCTAGTTTGATATTAAAAAAGTGGGAATTCCTAGAATTACAAAAGTTTTTGCAAGTCTCTCTTAAAGTTTTGTTTAATTGAACACAAACTTGTACGATTTTCTCTCTTACGCCAATGTCAAAACAGCGAAAACTGCCATATCTCTCTTTTTTGGCGTGTTAAGGGCAAAGTTGAAAACCTCTCAACCGCTTGGGAGTTGCTGTATGTAATTTCACAGCTCAAGCGCTCTCGCTTCCTCGAGGCGAAAATTTTCACTTTGGCCTTATCTCTGCATGAACTCGCAGCAAAAACGGAGAGAGAGAGAAAAGCTAATTGCACATTCCAACTTTTCCCGAATAAAAGATAAAAGCCGGAGTAAAGAATAATGTAATGCAAAAAAAAAAAAAAAAAAGAGAAGTTGAATTATCAAGAAAAAAAAACAATTATGGAACGATAAATAAAATTTCACTTACAGGAGCAATTCAATATTGACTCGAAAAATACTCTCACCGCTTCGCAATCGCTGCACCGACGGAAACAAAATATTTTTCATCTTCCTGCTTTTCAGCGCACAACTTTCAGCGATTCCGACTTTGCCAGTTGGGAGGCCACTCTGATGCAAAATAATACATAACCAGATCTAATAATCACGTTAGGCGCTCAACAACATAATATGCTGCTTTTGTTGTTGTGCAAGAAAAGAATGCAAAACTACTGTGCGCGAAACCCACGTGACGGCAGATGCACCCCTCGCCAAGGTCAAACACCACCGGGGTGACCTGGTTCTCTCGGTCGCGGTGGTGATCGATCTGTCGTCGGTGTGCGCGCCAAGGCCGTTCTCCCTTTTACGTAAGCGGAGCGCGCACCCTTATACATTCATGTTGAGACGAAAAATTAACCAAACCATAATTATTTGACTCACCACTGCAGACGAATGCATCACAGAGAGGAGCACATGGATTCGCACACGATTGTGTTGACGGTCGGTCGGACACCCCCGGTGTTTCGTGGCCAGGATATAAAAATAATGCGCCGCGCGTCGAAAATAGCGATCACTCAAAATAAACGCGGCGCGCCACCTGAAGAAGCACTCGCCGAACAAGACGACTGACGATGTTGTTGATCAAGTCGTCGTCGGCGGAGGACGAAATTTTATTTCCACCCCTCACGCGGCGTGCGCCTCGACAGTGTTCAAGAAAGATGCTGCCGCTCGCTCGCGGCTGCTTTGCCCCAACTGCCAGCCATTGGTCGATAAACGCCGCTGACGTCAGTCCGACGACCACCAATGCCTACCGCGCCGCCTTACATAACGCGAGAGGATGGGACCCGAGAGGGGCCCCGCGCGCCGCTCAGGGGAGGCCTCCGTCGGTGAGTCAGCTGGTGCGCCCGACCTCGACGTGACCCGAGGGGCGCACCACCCCTTCTCAAAGGGTTGACACGACAAGAGCCGGCTCCCGTGGGACCAACTTGGAAAATAAGGGATTCTCGGCTAGGGCACGCAGTGGATTTCCAACCCGGAAGTCGAGGACACCCTCGAAGGGTAGTTTCATTGTGTCAATAAAAAATGAAATTGGAAATTAAAACCCAACAAATTTTGTTTTAGAATCAAATTTGGTCGTAGCTGGGCTTTCCAGTCATTTTTTTTCTTTTTATAAAATAATCAACTAAAAGATCAAGATGCAAAAAAGTGATGAAATGTTTTCCGTGTCCCATTTTTGCCGAAAAAAAGTTGAAATGAAAAGAGATAAAAAGTCCTGCGATAGAGATTTTTGATGTAATAAACTTCAAACAAAGAACCGTAGAAAAAAATATGAAAAAAAAATTATTAATGAAGATCTCATGAATAATTAAAAAATTAAAATGAAATAAATATTTCTTATTAATATAAGCTTTAAGATGTAAAAACTAAAAAAAAAAAAAAAAAAAAAAACAGAAAATAATAATAATTTATGTAAATAAACAATCTTTAATTCAAATTAAATACAAATTACAATTCCATAAGTGTTTAAGATGAAAAAACTGAAAAAATAAACAAATAATAAAAATATATAAAATAAAAAATGTTATTAAATAATTAAAATAAAATAAAAATTACTTTTTTATTGTCAGGATTTGAATTAGTGCGCTCCCCAGTAAATTAGTGATAAATTACTCCCACTCACCGGGAGCGCACAATAAGCAAAAATGAGCACCTAGTATGTGATGAGTGACGGCGGCGTCACTCATCACCACGGGACGAACCCACGCGGACGTTCTCAAGTATCACCTCCGTTAAAGGTATTTATGTAATAACTGTCTTTGGATATTTAATAATAACAATGTCTTCCCTGGGTATCACATTTGTTTAATTGACTATTCCCATAGGATCTAGCACCGTCAGGGCGTAACCCTGACATCTGGAGGCACCGGCGAGATGTCTCTTTTCCACTTATTTAAAATAAGGGACTAGAGATAAAAAAATGGGACATTAATAAAATTCCCCGTTCCATTTTTTCTGCCTCCTAAATGTCGATTTTCCGGCATAGGTGCTTTTCCCTTGGGAAAACTGATTTTCCCCATGCCACCAAAAAGGGGCAAATCGGTTCCTCACATTCCCGACTCACCCGCTCTATCAACCAGGAGCAAGGGAGGATTTTTGGATATCTCTCTTTCTGTTCTTCAGAAAACCAAAAAACTTTTTTCCCGTAAATCAAAGGCGGAGGAAGATTTAAATCTAGATGAGTCAAGTTCCTCCGGAGACGATCCCTCCCGTAGTTTATTATTTCCCTCCAGGGGAAATTTAAACTCTCCACCTCCTGGGGGCGATTATGAACAAATCGGCCCAACCCTGGCCTACCAAACTTATGACATAAACCAGCCAGGACCCTCCTCTCGAGCTGATTATTTAGAGCTTCAAAGTCTCGAATTTCAGCCGTTCACACAAGCTGCAACCCCTTCCCTATCCCCTTATATTACCCCGTCTGATTATCTTGCACAAGTGGAAAACACTTCTGTTGGCACTCTTGATGCCCTGCGTAAGATAATTGGCACTCAATCAGAGGACGAAATCGAGGTGATTACAAATCAGTTCGGTTTGATTGATGTGCAGGACGAGCCACCTTCTGAGGAACTTGTTGAGCAGCAAATTCCTCGTAGCTCAACTCCTGCGGTCCCTAACCTTGAACCGTTAGTAATCAAATCTCGTGACACGAGTACCAATAGAGACGAAAATTCTCAATCGGGAAATAAAATGGCAAATCAGCCTACGAGCCGTGCGCGGCCGATTGACCTCGCCTTCTTCAAAGGCAAACAAAGTATCGGAGAATATTTGACACATTTCAATAGGGTCAGAGCGGCCAATCAATGGTCTGACTCTGAAGCACTTAATATTTTAAAGTGCAAATTGACGGGCTATGCATCGGAGTGGCTACAAGGCTATGAGGAAGACCCGGCGAACGCGAATGTGACGCTCGCTCAATTTTTGACAGACTTAAAAAATTCACAACATGTGCAGTCTGATGCACATGTGGCGGAGCGAGAACTTTACTCCAGGTTCCAAAAACGAGGTGAAAATTCACGCAAATTTGTAGGGGAAATGTTGTCTTTGATCAATAGAGTTGACCCCCATATGCTAGAGTCAAGGCGGATTCGCCTAATTTGCAATAATTTGCATCCCTCAATTTTGGATAGAATCGGTTCTCCCACTACAATTGGTGAACTTATTGCGCGGGCAGAGGATCAGGCGCTAAATCAACTCATTTTGGAACACCGGAGGAAAGTTTGCCCTCCTAGTGACTTTGACGCGGAGTCCAGCCGCTCTAGGCGGAAAAAGGGAAAAACCAAAAAATCAAGTAAATCAAAGAAAAAGAGTAAAAAGAAAAAGTCGGTTTCCGTCTCGGACAGCGAATCAACTAACGCGTCCGATAGCGGCAGTGAGTCTTCTTCATATCCGACTTCTTCTTATTCTTCCTCTTCTTCCTCAACTCACGCGGCCGTGGTTGAAAGGAAAAATAAAAAACTCCCCAAAAATAGTAAGAAAGTTGAACGCAAAATTGGGGAAAAATTGATGAAGAAAGTGGAAAAGCGCATCGCAGCCATTCAACTCTCTTCTGGACCTTCTCACATTCCCGCAGCCATGGTGCCCTCGCAGGCAGCCCCACAAGCGGCACCTGTGCAGGCTGTGGCGCAGTACACGACACCCAACCACTTCCCTGATCAGCCTTATGCTAATTACGACCGCGGTGGTTTTTCTCGTGGCCGTGGCGGCTGGAGTGGCCGTGGAGGCCGCCGGGGTCGAGGCGGCCGGGGCGGTGGCCGTATGTATTATAATTCGGGCAACACGATGCTTTGCAATTATTGTCGGCGCACGGGCCATTTGGAGAGCACGTGCTACAAACGCGAATTTGATTTGAGGAATTTAGGAGGCCACTTTGGACTCCCGGGGGCTGTCGCGAACCCCCAGCCGACATACGGGGCACAATATTATCCACCGGCCAGCCCACAAAACGCGTTGCCGCCATTTCCTTCCTTTCCGGCTCTTCCAGCACCGCCACTGGCGGGCCCAGGGGCACCGCAGGCGGCGGCGCCGTATGCCGTTCATGTGCATTACCCGTCGGCCAAGGAAAACCAAGACGGGAGGGCTTAGAAATTGGGGCCCGACCCCTCCCTAAAACCCATTTTGGGGGCTCCCTCTCTGTAAATTTTGAATCAGTTCGCACTTGCAATGAGAATAATTTTCAATCGAGCGGAAATAGTGTAGGAATCAATTCAGTCACAATTTGCGACAATTCTGCTAATCCACATGTTTTAAAAATTCCTGTAAATATTAATGGCGCAACAGTTCACGCGCTGACGGACACAGGAGCGCAGCTTAGTATTGTCTCTGCAGAATTAGTGAATAAAAAGGAAGTAAAGAGTAATTCAAATATTTTGCTGCGAGGCGCTTCTGGCCGTCTTATTCCGGTTTTAGGTTTGATTTCTCAAAAAATTCGAATCCAAAACACGGATTTTGTACATACATTTGCAGTGGTAGAGAATTTTGCACTTAAAATTTTGCTCGGTTTTGATTTTCTCAGTGCGAACAACGCTAACATTAATTGTAAAAATAAAGTTCTTTTGTTTGGCCCCGCAACAGAGGGTCCCTCTTTCGCTGAACCTGTAAATAAAATAAATTCAATATCTCAGGAGACAATGCAACCTCCTGCAGAGGAAGAGGAAATAGACGAAGTGCGCCCTATTGCAACGATTTGCGCACAACACACACTCGATATTGACGCGTTTGAGAGAAAATTGGTACCAATCTCAATTTCCCACAATTTGACAGAAGGTGAATATTTTGCTTTGCCTGAAGAGCGACTGATTAAAAAACATCTATTTGTGCCGAGTTTCATTTTTCATGTAACTCAAGGCTCAAATAATGTTTGGATTAAAAATCTTTCTAGAATACCTCAGCGCTTATTTCAGGGCCAGAAAATTTTCCACCTTTTCAAATTAGAATCTTTTCCGGAAATTGAAATTTTCCCAATTTCAACACAGTCAATTGACCCTCCTTCAGAGGCGCCGAAAGGGAACCCTTTGGATTTAATTCACATCAATCCTGAATTGTCAAATGAACAAAAGGCACAAATGCGCACTCTGTTGGAAAAATATAAACACCTTTTCCCACACGACACAGAAGATTTACCAACCACAAACAAAATACAACACATTATTAGGTACAAGGGACCTATAATCAAACAAAAACCCTTCAGGGAATCAATGGCTCAGCGCGAAGCGATGCGAATTGAAATTGACAGATTGCTTTCCAAAAATATTATTGAACCATCAGAAAGCCCATTCTCTTCTCCAGCCTTCATTATTCCCAAAAAAGGGGGTGGGTCTAGATTAGTTATTGATTACCGCTGCATAAACAAACATTCAGACCCAAATTCCTACTTTTTGCCTCTAATTTCTGACATTTTGGCTAGTTTCCACGGCGCGAATTTTTTCGCGGCCCTGGATTTGAACCAAGCCTATTTTCAAATTCCTATGGAGGAAGGTAGCAAAATTTTTACAGCATTTAGCACTTCCTCTGGTCACTATCAATTTAAAGTCCTACCCTTCGGTCTCCATAATGCTCCCGCCACATTTTCTAATCTTGGCGACAGCATTTTGAGTGACCTGCGATGGAAAATAGTAATTTCTTATTTGGATGATGTTTTTTCTTGGGCACCAACCTTTGAGAAATTGCTGGAAAATCTAGATATCATTTTACAAAGGTTTGACGCAGCAAACCTAAGATTCAAACCACAAAAATGCTATTTTGGGTTCCAAAAAATGAGCATTTTAGGTTGGTCAGTCAGCCCTCACGGTGTGCATGTGGATGCGGACAAAATCTCAATTTTATCTAAGCTCCATGAACCAAAGAACGTGAAAGAATTACTCAGGGCGCTCGGGATGATTGGCTATTATAGAAAGAGTATACCAAACATGGCAAAAATCGCAAAACCTCTTTATGATTTGGTAAAGAAAGACACAAAATTTGAATGGGGACCACAACACTCGGAAGCTTTTCGCACCCTT